GGACTCTTAGCCTGTTAACTCAGTAAACTGAAATACTTCTAGACACTTGGAATGTGGGGTTTAAATACTAAACTGGTGTACATAAACTGATAGGTGACTTCCAGTGCAGAAGAAGGGAATAGGTAGAAGGGCAGGAAAATATGGCCCAAGAGAATTGTGGGAAGGGATTGGAAGACTATCAGTACCCACGTTAAATAATTGGTTTACAGCCTGCATACTGCAAAGTACATGGGTTACAGCCCAAGTTCAAGCAGAACCCAGGCTCTAATCTATACCCTCAGCTGGGTAAGTTAGCTCGTTTCAAAGCACCTCCAAACCCAAGTAAAAAGTTTTTGTATGTGGATAGTTGGAGAGTCAGGTCTAAAGCCCAGGCAGGAGCCCAGGTTAACCCTACAGTGAAGGCACACTCAACACTTCCCATTATAAAGATAACCTTAATAATAGGCAGTACTACCAGCTCCACCTATAAGTGTTTTTAAAAATAGGTGGGGGAAACCTTGATGCGTTACTGTGGTATTAATAATAGTGCACTGTTTTGCTAGAGAGGTCAAAGACAACGATTAAATGATTCTGACATTAACCTTCACTTTAGTTGAGGTTTCTCCAGAATCTCATTGTTAATGATGTTTGTGGGGTTTTGGTAACTGACTTATCAAGACATACCAGTGGAAGTCATCTCTTACACAGCAGCTCAGCCAGTATGGACACCAGATATTAATGATTCAGCTAACTGCACATCACTGTGGTAATTTGCACATGTATAAGTAAGGAAATTTTATAGACACTCTAAATTCTCATAAGCCATCATTTTTCAAGGCCTAGTTCATCCTTTCTTGACACAGCCAAATGCACAGACGTATACAGAATATATTTGTTAGAATTATGGAAATGCCTGGTTACGGAGACTCCATAGTTAGGGTGATGGTCTAAAATAGAGCATAAATTCCTGTTTTCCTCCAAAAGTGTATGGCCAGTTAATGTGAAATTTCAGACTGGGTTAGTGTTTTTTCTCTTTGAATTTTCTATGTAGTTTTTGGTTTTTCTTTCTTTTTTTTTTCTTTTTTAATGGTAAGGGTTTGAAATTTGGGCTCTGGCTCAAGATCTCTTTGGCAGTTCTACTTACATTGTTTATCCACACAAAAACTTGGCAGAGATGGATCCTGCAGAGAACTGGGGCAACAGAGAAATTTTTTTAAATGAATGTTGGATTTAGGGTCATTTTTAGCTGCTACTAACATTGTAACTGAAAGTTCATATATATACTGTGCACGCAAGCATGATTGATGGAGTGCAAGTACATGATAACACAATTGATTGTGGCAGTGAGGATAGGATGTGCACAAGATTAATTAATTGATGGTGGGGCATGGAAGCCTGATTTTTCTGAGGAGGGGAGGGGGGCATGGGGAGCTCACGCAACCCTACTTGGTTAATGCGGTAGGGCAGGAACACAGAAAGCTGATTGGTTATTTGGGAAGGAGTGAACGCATACAAAACATGATTGATTGATTGACTGATTGATCAATTGGTGTGGGGGCATACAAAAGTCTGATTAATTAGAGGGGATTTTTGGGGTGAGCACATGCTAGCCTGACTGATGATGGGGCAGCGGTGGGAGCAAGCACACCCAAACCTGATTGGTTGATGTGAGGGGAGACCTAGAAGCCTGCTTGAGTGAGGAGGAGCAGGCACACGCAACCCTGACTGATGGGGTCAAGAGTCCAGACACACTTAAAACTATCTCCAGGAGGAGCGGACTTTTCTGTCAGATTTTTGTCCTACAGCAGAAAAGGGTTTGTGCGCACAACTGCTGATATGGGAGGGTTCAGGCAGAGCTGCTGACAGATAAAATATTTTCCCACTTCACTTGTAGCCCCCCAGGCCCACTCCTCTCCGCTCATCCACTGCCTACCCCTTTAAGTACAGAAAAAACCTTGGACATTAATACACAGCATACTTATTGTCAAGTATCTGGTGTGTTGTTCTTATTAAGGCATAAAGATCTTAATAGTTAAGTTAGTTGTATTTAAATGTTCCCTAACAGCCATGTGAGCCAGCTGTAGGCTTCAGCCTGCCAGGCTGTCTGCCCTCTGGCTTCCAGATATCTGTGTTCTAAAACCTTAGGGCTCTGGACTCACTCCCACATCCTTATATAACCATGGCAGCTACTCCGTACACAGCACAACTGATTCAAACCCACAAGATGAAGGTCATGAAAGTTAAGCCACCTGACAGCAACCATTACTCTGTCCCCTAGAGATGCCAGCCTTCCATTACCCCCTTCAGCTGCCCATCTGCACACAATCCTTTACCAAACTACCTTCTCCTAATGTAATCACCCACTACATCACACATCCACAACTACTTGTGTTGCGGGAAAACAAGCTGCCAGGGACGTGTGCAGAAATGTGAAAATGGAGCAGAATTACAGCTGCTGTGCATGGTTTGTGGTGTACAACAGTTGTCGTAATGATAAAGTGAGTGCTTGTGAGTGGAGGAGTAGAGGATATGTACTGTTAAGTGGCTTATCTTTTAATTTCCTGCCTTTTGTGTGTATAGCAACCCTGCTTCCCAGTGAAGTTTTGTGTATTAATATATTAACAAAGCTAGCCACTTTAGATTCTATAAACAGGTAGAAGATTGGAGAGCGGGGGGGGGGGGGGGGAGGTACAGGACATAAATCCACCAGAATACTCACAGCTCTATGCTTAGTGAGGGCCTAGTAGCCATCAGACCCTTGTCTTAGCTGGAGATTTGTCCCTTGATAAAAATATTAGATGCTGACAGCTAGCCAAGGCCCCCAGCACAAGCGTATGGGCCCCACTTCTCTGACAGCAGAGGAAGCATTTTCATTAAAATGGTTCAGTTATGTTTATAAGGGGGGGGGCAACAATTTGTCAGACGGGTCATCCTAAACTCCCAAAGTCAGCTCTGGGAGCATCACAGGATTTTGTGAACTGTGAACTGTGAACTGCTCTTGCTCTGTACAGACATAATAGAATTTTTTTGCACCGTTCAGATTTGTTGCGTCTCAGGTATTACCATTTTCATGAAAGCACTTGCCTTCTGTTGGAGGGGGGAAAGCCCTTCCTTCTTCTCTAAATGTGTTCTGTAATACTTTTCACCAAAACTAATCTCATGCAACCAGAACTACCTATATGCTAAGAGAAGCCCTTAACTGGCTTCGCTTGATGCCTAAATACTACAATAATGAGCACCCTCCACATACTCAGAATAGGTATGGATCTTATCTGGAGGCAACATGATCCAAAACCAACAGGGACCTGGACAGGAATCGGTAAACCTGTGTCCTACTCCCTGCTCTACTATTAAGCTGTTGTGTAACTTTGACAAGTTACTTCAGCCACCTCAACCTCTGTTTTCCTCGTCTACAGAACAGGGATAATATCATCCTTTGTAAAGCACTTTGCCACCTTCAGATTATAAGCGCTAATTATTATTCTTATTCTTATTGTTATAAAGAGTGGTGTGATCATAGACAAGGATACATTTTATCTTTACATTCTCAAACTTCTTTTAAGTACTTTGCATGTTGTAGTTTGCTATTCTACGTAGAGCACCACTGTACATACTACGAAATACCATCACACGTCAAATCCATAGCTATCCAGTAGGCAGTACTGTATATTGTGCTAACATGTAGTCTCAGCAAGAGTTTACAGTACAACGCTGGATTTCTTGTAGCGTAGGTTGCAGAAGCACTGTGGACATATTTAAAAAAAAAAGAGCTATGACAAGAAGCAGCTGTACAATTTGCACTGGAGTGATTAGATTCTTTAGTTCGGTTAAAAAGCCTCTGGAAACTCTAAACAAGTCCTGGATTGAGCCCTGCTTCTAAGGACCTTTCTTCTTGAAGGCTGACAGACTTCTCACTCTTGTGAAAGAGCAGCTTCAGAAAGCAACTGGGCATTCTCCAACACCCACTTTTTGAGAAGTACAGTCAGCACTTGCTGAAAAATAAAAGTATAAAGTCTTTTTTTCATTGGGAATGAATGAAAAGGATAAGACGGCACAGTAAATGTAATGTTTAAAAATAGGTGCAGCATGTTTAACATTTGAAGTAAGTTAGGTAGGGTACAGATCACAGCCACAGAAATATCAGATTAAGACTTTTATTCAAAACACGTCTTCCCACAATAGTATTTGTTTCTAATCAGAATAGCATTGTTTTAAAGTGAAAGTTTGGGGTATAGATTATTGAAGTTCAGAAGCCCCATTCTGCCCCTGCATTATACAGGGTGCGGAGACTGAGGCCATCTATTCATCTTGACAACATTAGAACTTGCTGTAGGATGTCAGGGAGGGAGGATACATTTGTATGTAATCGGAAGGAAGAATTCCACATGTAAACTACACTACATTAATTTTCTTTTAGGAGTTCTCCATCAGCTTTAGAGAAGAAATACTAGTACTACTTGTAGGATTCATAGTTGCCATATAAATTGTATATGGTATATATTATTTTTGGTCTAGCTTTAGTACTATCATCAATAATAATCCTTGGCCATATTATTAAGTTTTGTGTGTATTTTTCAAGCTTTTCTGTAATTTTTCTATGGTGTAACTGTTGTTACACCTTGCCAGGAGTTTTTTTGGTTTGGTTGTTTTTTATTATATTTTGTAAACAGGAGCTTTAAAAGTCCCACTGCTGTCTGCCTCTAAGCACTTCCAATCTTGAATTATAGTTTTTTATATCTTAGTTTGAAAGTTTAGTTCAATCTATTTAATAGAGACAGTGTACAAATGTGAGGGAAAGGATAAAATCTAAAATGTTTATGCAATAAGAACATAAACACCTCATTATATATAGCTCCATATGCCAAATATCAATAATGTTCCTATTTATAATATAAAACTTGACTTGTGGCCAAGATTTTATTGTATTTTTATAAAAATATTAGTCACATATATGTAGTTTGTATGAGATTATGTCCATGAATATTTTTACTTCAATAAAACATAAATAAGATGATAGAGCGGACTAGTGTGGAATATTGCAATGTTATAATCACCTTTCACAGCTTAGAATACGGGTAAGGAGTCAATGTAAACAACTAGATTTAAACAAAAAACTTAAACAAAAGTTCACCTGCCGTGGATTTAATTAAATCTACTGTTTTCTTGATAAATAGATTTAGTGTGTACTATATGGTACCTTGACCTATATTACTGTATGTTGTGTCTCTGATTCAGAAAGGAGCATACCCACTGCAAAAGCTTATTTCTCTCTGACAAACTACGCCATGTTAGGTTGTCTGTTGTAAGGAATGAATACTCATCAAAATATCAAATGCTAGCCCTAACAAGCAGTTTTAGGTGCAACAACCTGCAAGATTTGTTTTACATCTCCAAAGAAGAACATTAGGTTTCAGAACATCAGTCAGCTGGTTGATTGTCATACATATTTCTGTGAAACTCTTCAAAGGCGTCACTGTTGCTCACTGGGGAGAGAGAGAAAAAGATACACTGACGTTTTAGAGAGAATAGTAACTTATGTTTAATGGTAATAAACTTAATGCACCATCACTTCCTGTGCAGCTATTAGAAGTACCGCTATATGTTTAATTAAACTGACTTGAGAACATAAGAACCGCCATAGTGGGTCAGACCAGTGGTCCATCTAGCCCAGTATCCTGTCTTCTGACAGTGGCCTGTGCCAGGTGCTTCAGAGGGAACAAACTGAATAGGGCAATTATTGAGTGATCCATTCCCTGTCATCCACTCCCAGCTTCTGGCAGACAGAGGCTAGGACACCCAGAGCATGGAGTTGCATCCTGACCATTTTGGCTAATAGCCATTGATGAACCTTTCCTCCATGAACTTGTCTAATTCTTTTTTGAACTCAGTTATAGTTTTGGCCTTCACAAATCCCCTGGCTATGAGTTCCATAGGTTGACTGTGCATTGCGTGAAGAAATATTTCCTTATGTTTGTTTTAAAACCTGCTGCCTGTTAATTCATTGGATGACCCCTGGTTCTTGTGTTATGTGAAGGAGAAAATAACACTTCCTTATTATTTTCTCCACACCAGTCATGATTTTATACACCTCTATCATATGCCCCCTTAGTCATCTTTTTTCCAAGCTGAAAAGTCCCAGTCTTTTTAATCTCTCCGCATATGGAAGCTGTTTCATATCCCTAATCATTTTTGTTGCCCTTCTCTGTACATTTCCCAATTCTAATATATATTTTTTGAGATGGGGCAACCAGAACTGCATGTGTGGGCGTACCATGGATTTATATAGTAGCATTAAGATAATAAGACAGCAAATATCAATCTCTTTCCTAATGGTTCCTAACATTCTTTGACTGCTGCAGCACATTGAGTGGATGTGTTTAGAGAACTATCCACAATGACTCCAAGATCTCTTTCTTGAGTGGTAGCATCTAATTTAGATCCCATAATTTTGTATGTATAGTTGGGATTATATTTTTCAGTGTACATTACTTTGAATTTATCAACATGAGTTAGCTTGTACAAGCTAATTGACTAAGCAATAACTAAAGCAATCTTGGGACCTCATATATCAACCAGGAGATAGCTACACTAAGGATTTGCAGGGAATAGGTGTACAGTTTGGTGTACAGATGGGCTCCACCTAAACCAAAATGGAACCAGATTGATGGCACTTAACATTAAAAAGGTCGTAGAGAAGTTTTTAAACTAAGGGCTGGGGTAAAGCCGACACGTGCGGAGGAGCACATGGTTCGGACATCCCTTAGGGGAGGCTCTATTCATAGACAATCTCTATATCCTAGTGAGGACAAGAGGATGGAAAATGATAAAATACAGGCAGGGTCTGATCAGAAACAATCAAATAAAAAAGAGTCCCATTCAATTACATCATGTAATGGCAGACAGCCAAAAGGAGATAAGTTTTTAAAGTGCTTATATACCAACGTTAGAAGTCTAAATAATAAAATGGGTGAACTAGAGTGCCTCGTATTAAATGAGGATATTGATATAACAGGCATCACAGAAACTCAGTGGAATAAGGATATTCAATGGGCTACAGTAATACCAGAGTACAAAATATATCGGAAGGACAGAACAGGTCGTGCTGGTGGGGGAGTGTTATTATATGTGAAAGAAAGCGTAGAATCAAATGAAGTAAAAATTGTAAATGAATCAAACTGTACCATAGAATCTCTATGGATAGAAATTCCATACTCTAATAATAATAATATAGCGGCAGGGATATATTACTGACCACCTGATCAGGGCGATGAGAGTGACTGTGAAATGCTCAGGGAGATTAGAGAGGCTATTAAAATAAAAAAACTAAATAATAATAATAATGGGGGATTTCAATTATCCCCATATCGACTGGGTACATGTCACCTCAGGACGGGATGCAGAGATAAAGTTTCTTGACACCTTAAATGACTGCTTCTTGGAGCAGCTGGCCCTAGAACCCACCAGAGGAGAGGCAATTACTGATTTAGTCCTAAGTGGAGCACAGGATCTGGTCCAAGAGGTGAATATAGCTGAACCGCTTGGTAATAGTGACCATAATATAATTAAATTTAATATCCCTGTGGCAGGAAAAACACCACAGCAGCCCAACACTGTAGCATTTAATTTCAGAAAGGGGAACTACACAAAAATGAGGAGGTCAGTGAAACAGAAATTAAAGGGTACAGTGCCAAAAGTGAAATCTCTGCAAGCTGCGTGGAAACTTTTTAAAGACACCATAATAGAGGTTCAACTTAAATGTATCCATGGTGGCTAAACAACAAAGTAAAAGAAGCAGTGAGAGGCAAAAAGGCATCCTTTAAAAAGTGGAAGTTAAATCCCAGTGAGGAAAATAGAAAGGAGCATAAACACTGGCAAATGAAGTGTAAAAATACAATTAGGAAGGCCAAAAAAGAATTTGAGGAACAGTTAGCCAAAGACTCAAAAAGTAATAGCAATTTTTTTTTTTTAAGTACATCAGAAGCAGGAAGCCTGCTAAACAACCAATGGGGCCACTGGACGATCAGGGTGCTAAAGGAGCACTCAAGGACAATAAGGCCATTGTGGAGAAACTAAATGAATTCTTTGCATCAGTCTTCACGGCTGAGGATGTGAGGGAGATTCCCAAACCTGAGCCATTCTTTTTAGGTGACAGATCTGAGGAACTGTCCCAGATTGAGGTATCATTAGAGGAGGTTTGGGAATAAATTGATAAATTAAATAGCAGTAAGTCATCAGGACCAGATGGTATTCACCCAAGAGTTCTGAAGGAACTCAAATGTGAAATTACAGAACTACTACTGTAGTCTCTAACTATCATTTAAATCAGCTTCTGTACCAGAAGACTGGAAGATAACTAATGTGACGCCAATTTTTAAAACGGGCTCCAGAGATGATCCGAGCAATGACAGGCCTGTAAGTCTGACTTCAGTACCGAGCAAACTGATTGAAACTATAATAAAGAACAATATTGTCGGACATATAGATGAACATAATTTGTTGAGGAAGAGTCAACATGGTTTTAGTCAAGGGAAATCATGTCTCACCAATCTACTAGAATTCTTTGAGGGCGTCAACAAGCATGTGGACCAAGGGGATCCAATGGATATAGTATACTTAGATTTTCAGAAAGCCTTTGACAAGGTCCCTCACCAAAGGCTCTTATGCAAAGTAAACTGCCATGGGATAAGAGGGAAGGTGCTCTCATGGACTGGTAACTGGTTAAAAGATAGGAAACAAAGGGTAGGTATAAATGGTCAGTTCTCAGAATGGAGAGAGGTAAATAGTGGTGTCCCCCAGGGGTCTGTTCTGGGACCAGTCCTATCAACATATTCATAAATGATCTTGGAAAAGCGGTAAACAGTGAAGTGGCAAAATTTGCAGAAGATACAAAATTACTAAAGATAGTTAAGACCCCGGCAGACTGCAAAGAGCTATAAAAGGATCTCTCAAAATTGGGTGACTGGGCAACAAAATGGCAGGTGAAATTTAATGTTGATAAATACAAAGTAATGCACATTGGAAAGCATAATCCCAACTATACATATAAAATGATGGGGTCTAAATTAGCTGTTACCACTCAAGAAAGAGATCTTGGAGTCATTGTGGATAGTTCTCTGAAAACATCCACTCAATGTGCAGCGGCATTCAAAAAAGCGAACAGAATGCTGGGAATAATGAAGAAAGGGATAGATAATAAGACAGAAAATATCATGTTGCCTCTATATAAATCCATGGTACGCCCACATCTTGAATACTGTGTGCAGATATGGTAGCTCAAAAAAGACATATTGGAATTGGAAAAGGTTCAGAAAAGGGCAACAAAAATGATTAGGGGTATGGAACGGCTTCCGTATGAGGAGAGATTAATAAGACTGGGACTTTTCAGCTTGGAAAAGAGACAGCTAAGGAGAGGTTTGATTGAGGTCTATAAAATCATGACTGGTGTAGAGAAAGTAGATAAGGAAGTGTTGTTTACTACTTCTCATAACACAAGAACTAGGGGTCACCAAATGAAATTAATAGGCAGCAGGTTTAAAATAAATAAAAGGAAGTATTTCTTCACACAACACACAGTCAACCTTTGGAACTCCTTGCCAGAGGCTGTTGTGAAGGCCAAGACCATAACAGGGTTCAAAAAAGAACTAGATACATTCATGGAGGATAGGTCCATCAATGGCTATTAGCCAGGATGGGCAGGAATGGTATCCCTAGCCTCTGTTTGCCAAAGGCTGGGAATGAGCGACAGGGGATAGATCACTTGATGATTACCTGTTCTGTTCGTTCCCTCTGGGGCACCTGGCACTGGCCACCATTGGAAGACAGGATACTGGGCTAGATGGACCTTTGGTCTGACCCAGTAGGGCTTTTCTTATGTTTGAAGAGCAAACAATTAGTTTTAGCAATAGTACTGGATTCTGAAAGGATGGATAAATCTAGCGAAGATATTTCAGTCTTATATTAAAGCACATATTAAAAATTCCTGTCACAATTGAACTCCATGCATTAATAATTGAGCTTTCATTTTATAACAATATCTTATTAATTAGTTAAAAACACATATAAACATTATATAACAGTCATTAAGTTGTAAACAATGCCTAGAGTTTCATCAGGTATTTAAAAGAACTTCAGTATGCATTATGTTAAATCAAATCATCATATATGTTTTCGGAATTTACAAGCCACCACTTCCTGTCAACCCTGTTTTAGATAGCTGATAGGGAGGATTTTATCCATCAGTAGTGTTTGTATGCTATAGATCTCTTACATGCTGGTTTACAAATACTTTGATGGTTAGCACAATTAAAACTGCCAGACCTTCAAGGAATCTTTATGGTTGATAAGACATTCATGTATTTTGATGCACGGTATTGGCATGCCACTTAAGCCTAGATCCTGCAACACACACAACATTAAGCATTTAAGTAGTCCCATTGTCTTCAATGGGACTATTGATGGGGTAAAATTAGACATATATGTAAGTGTTTGCTGGATGGGGCCTTATGCAATAGCCCAGTGCAGTGATGCCAGTCAGTGACCAGTGTAACTACCACAAACCCCCCCTCCCCTCCTCAGATTTTAATTTTTAAAAAATAACTTTGTGGATTCTAACACCTAAAATCAGTGGTGAAGCTACTGTTCTGCTGTGTCTCTATAATGTGCTTCTGCAAAGCTAGATAAAGCAGATATTATGATACCCTTTTTGCTGGACTTAAGAGACACGATTGTTGAAGGCCAAAAGAGAAAGGTGCACCATTTCCCCTGTCGGAATTAAAGTAATTGGGACTTTGTGCCGGGACCTGTACAAGGTTAGGGGGACTGATTCAGTCTTAGACCCCAGATAGGCTGTGTTGCTGCAACACCACCTCATCACGGTGCCTGCCCTCCTTCCCCACCTCTTAAGCCACAATTTTGGGCCACTGGAACCACTGAGTGTGGAGCCACAGGCTCTTCTCCATTACACCCTCTTTGGCATCATCCTATTGGGAGACAACACATATTTCCCTCTGCAGTGTGCAGGGGTTGTGGATGCATGCCTTGCCCCAGAGCCTCTCCACCAGTGGTGTCCTGCTTGGATCCATCCACCCTACAAGGCTGTGATAATTGGGCCTACACATTAACCCTGATTGTGAGCTCAATTGCAAAAAGTGAAAGTTCATAAAATGTCACAATAACCTATAATAATAAATGCTGGTGGGAAAAGGTGCAGAAAAGAGACAAAGACTGAATTAGTCCAAACAAAAAGGCCTACTGATAAAACTCAAGCACAGTGTGAAAATCATACCTGATAACAAAAACCAGAACAGTGTGATACTGGAAATCAATGACCCAAAACTGATGAGTCTGACATTAGGCCTAACTGGTTAACAAAATAATGAGGGAGATGAGCTATTCCACACATCACTCCCTTTTGGGGTCCTTAGAGACTTTGCAGGGAAAACTGGCTCCTGCAAAACTGGCTGACAAAGAGGAGAGAGGATGAAGCAAACTCCACCATGATGCTGCCATCCCCACTGCATCCTGGACCCTGGACCTTCTTCATCCTAATCCTGAATGATGTCCTGACCAGACCGGGGAGAGGGAATCAGATGACATTGCCACCTTCACTGGCTCTGACTAAGTCCTGAATACCACTTGGAATGTGAGACTTTGTCACACACCTCCCGTGTGTGTTCCTTTCCTTTCCCACCGTATTTCTTCTCTTTCCTATCCCTCTCCTTTTTCCTTCTGTCTAATAAGGGTTTGGCTTAGTCAGTCAAGCCTGTATATTATGCAACACTGCTGAAAGCCTTAAGCCTGTGACCAAAAAGAGGCTGCTACATGCAGTGCCCTAAACAGCCCAATGCTGGTACAAATTTGCCAGGTCTCGGAGTGGCTAAGACCCGTGTGCTGTGCCTGTGTTTCTCCAGCAGTGAGGTTGCAAGTGAGAGTCAACGTCAGAGACAGAAGTCACACTGTCTATCTTCGCAGTTCTTTGCCCTCCCCCTTTTAAGTGTGTTTGTCTTGTTTTGTCTTCTAGGAAACAGGATCGGACTTCTAACAACAGCAACGCCAGCCCATCTCAACTGCTTCTTCTCTTTTCCCCAAAAAGATAGTTATTACCATCTAAGACAGTCGAACACAGGGGATTTTTCCTTCTAAAGACTCTCTCCAGCTAAGTGGAAAAGGAAGAGGGAATGTTGTTAAAATTAAAGCCTTACTTAATACTTTACATTTCAAAGGCTTGAAGTGTTTTTCTTTCCCCCTCCTCAACCCTCCCCAGAATCTTTAATAAAGGGTTTAAAAGATTTTTAATAATGTGTTTGCCAAGGCAGGCTGCGGTCTCTGTATACCAAACCCCAAACTTTGTTTAAAAAACAGGCCTCATATAGGCCTCCTCCACACCTGAGTGATTTCACCTTAGGGGCCAAACTCTCAACCACCAGACATATATTGAAGCATGGCTCACTTTGAAAAGTGACTGTAAAAATTGAATCTTTCAATGTCTATTCAGAGTCATAGCTAATGACTTCATCAATTAAAATAAGCTTTTGCTACTTTTATTCCTGCCCTGGAGAACAGGTATATCTGTGGGAGAGAGCAACTCTATTCTGGATGACACATCATTAACAGAATTGCTGTCCTTATGATGTATTACTTTGAACACCCCAACGTGTGCTAGTAATTTTACACACACTGGTAAAAGTATGGTCCCTGCCCCAAAGAGCTTACACTCTGACGTATAATAAAAAGCTTACCATCTTGTTAACTATGTCCCGAGTGGAGAATCTTTATTGCTAGTGATGCATAAGGCAGAAAAACCCAGCTTGCCTTTCACATTTCATGCTGTGTTTGCAGCACTGGCAGTTAGAAAAATACATCCTTTTATTTGTAAACTAAACAGGATTATATATGGAGTCATTTGGAACCCCATGATGCTATTTTGTAAAAGTTGCTTTTCGGAGTAGCAGCACATTTTAACCAGTAATATTTGCAGCCATATTCTAGTTGGTAACAACCACATGCACAGACTCTCCCTTACTGCCCAGAATATTTTTTTCTTTAAATTTGCAGTTAGTTCAAAAATGGATCATTTACAGTTGTGTGTGTTTATTATTCCTTAACTAATGAAATAATACTGTTACTACCTCTACATTCATTAAGGTGACTATGTTTCCAAAATCAAAATCTGGGACACTTTTATGGGAACAAGTAGTTAGGATTGCAAAATCTTCATGTAAAAACCAAAAATACATTTCCTTTTTAAATCTATACTAGTGTTGTTGCTATCGCCTTATGATTCAACAATATGTTCACATTTCTCGGATTGCAGGATAAATTCCAGTAGCTTAGTGTTCTCAATGAATTTGTCGTGACACACTGTCTCCACTTTGAACAAAAGAACCACTTTGACTGTGTCAACACTCATTCAGTTTTTCTCTGCACTCCCAGCATGTGCATCAAACAGAATACCTGTTCCACTGCACCATTTTATTCCTGGTAAGTACAGAGCAAATTCTATTTGGAACAGTAATATATCTTGAACAAACATCGTATAGTTATTAAAAAATGTTTGGATCGATGAAAGGAAAAAACCAGAACATTTCAGATGATCCAAAAGAGGTTTTCAGGACATATCAGATGAAAAACCAGAACATATGGCCTCTCTATTAGTACAATACAAAACAATATTTGCCTTTTTAATCACAAGATGGTGACAGGTGTTGAGTGATATTACATAGTACCATGTAATGGACTGAGCAAATTAGCAAACAGATAGAGGAGAGGAATCTATTTACCATTTTGTATATACACACACACTTTAACAGATCCCTGGTGAACAATTAGTTCATTTCTGTTCAACTTCCCCCTCTTCTTTCGTAGGTGCGCTAGGGAAGTGCTACAAGAAGGTTGCTTGAGAAACTAGTAGGGAGACAGAAAATGACTTTGGGAAGGGTTGAATCCTAAGCTGGGGAGTTTTTCTGTTTATGATTATTTACATTTTTGTTGTAAACCTTATGGAAAAAATCTTGCAATGGACAATTTTTTCTGCAGATTCATTTCACTATCTTACGCTCTCCTTTAGGACTATATAAAACCACATGGAATGGTAACACTTTCTTCTGGAAAGCCAATTCAACAAAGTACGTAAGCACATGCCTAAGTTTAAACCACATGTTGTATGCACTGAAGAAGAGCTCTGTGTGGCTCGAAAGCTTGTCCCTCTCACCAACAGAAGTTGGTCCAATTAAAGATATTACCTCACCCACCTTGTCTCTTCAAACTACATGAGTAGTTCCATGTCTCCAATAGAACTACTCACATTATTAAAGTTAGGTATGTGCTTCAGTAACCTTGCTGAATTGGGTCTGAGAAAGATATCAGACAAATTCAGCAGTTGTATTAAAGGCAAGTTGAAGAGTCCTAAAAATTGAAAAGCTGATCTTGGTCAATGACTGTACTTAAAAGGAACATATTGGGCCTGATTGTGTTTACACAGGATAACAAGAGAGGAGCTCAGTTTGATAAGGTAATAATCCAGGGATCCAATATTTGTTCCCATTTAAATCAACATCTGAAGAACTCATTATCTTGAACGAAATTAGGATTCCACCAGCTCCTAAATGCTTGATTCCACTCCCATGAAAGTCAGTGGGAGCTGAATCAGATAAATGTGTAATCAGAAGTTTCACTCATTTTAATAAAAATCACTAGAAGCAATATCTCCTGGGGACTGTAATGATGCATATTTGGTAGCAGGGCAGCACCATGTTAAATAGAGATTTGATGGATTAAATTACTGCATAGTGTTTCTCTAAACAAAAACTCACTGTTGTAATGAATATCATTTTGTCACTGACATATATATAGCAATGATTTGTAAACCTGTTAAAACTTGCTAAATAAATAGACAAAAAAATTATGAGACCATTGATAGTGTAATAAAGCTATGCTTCCTCTGGCTCCAATAAGATGTCAATAGAACCACTGTGATTCTTGAGCTATTCAAGACACTTCAACTAAGTTATTTTTTACCATTTTCTTTTATGGGGGATGGAATGTGAATTCACAGTCACAATCTGTGTGCAAAGTTTCAACATGGACTGATTGTAAATAGCTGAGAAAGCTTGGAAGTTGGAGGTTAAAATGAAAATGGCATGCTTGAATGTTCAATATACCTTTAAGAATCCTTAGGAATTTCTTGAGATCCCGTTGTTGCCGAAGAAGCTGGAAGACAAAATACAAACAGTTGGAAATATTTCTGTTCAGTGGTTTAACAGTGTAGCTACAGAATAAAGCAAACCCTATTTTAGAAATAAGAGTGGTACTTTGGGTTCATGGGTTGAAATTTTCAAAGACATCTAGGGGATTTGGACACATATTGGTCATTACCTTTATTTTGTTTCTAATTTAAATGGAAGATGTGTTTAAATCCTCTAGACTGCTCAACCATGACCCCTTCCTTCTAGTTTAGTTATATTGTATTACTGCTTAAGATAAATGAGAAAATAAAAGTACCATAACTGTATTAAACATTACATTGCTTATAAACAATAATAAAATACCACCTTTAGCATATTTCATCAACTTCATGTCAGAAGATTCCTCCTTTCAAATTCAGTTAGGCTAAAAATTCTTTGTCACGGCATGTGACAAAAGTGGAAGTTTTCTTTAGGCAGTAACTTTTCCATCAAATAATTTTGCTACCTATCATGAGACAATTGCAGTATAGTCCCCCCAAAAAGCCCTGTGGGTTTAACATTAGCCAAAGCTTAATAAAAGCTATTTTCAATGTGTGGTGATGATTTAAAAATTAAATTATTGACCTAGAAAAGACATTTTAAAATGTATGGTATATTCGTTAGCATACTTATGGCTCCACTTAATTTTTCTAGACAATAGTGCAGCTAACCCAAAGCAAACAGACATGAGTTTATTTTAGAAATAAAACATTTTAGATTAGACAATACTCTGCACCTTCTGCATCCTGCCCAGACTCATCCTCAACAGCCTCCTGGTTCCTTGAGGATGTGTCAGGCATCTCTTGAGCTGCTGAGGCTGTTCCTTCTTGAATACTGTCTACATTGTCCTCATGAGCAGAAGCTGCTGCAACATCCAAGCCTTCACCCACAACTTCTGTGAATTAGAGAGATAATTGTCTTTTCTTTTTTCTCCATTTGCCAGTATAAATTAAGCACCATTTGAGCCCCAATTCAGTAAGCATGATTCTAATTTTAAGCAGGAGCCGTTGAAGTAAATAAGACTATTCAAGTGCTTAAAGTTTAAGCATGTGCATAAGTGTTTGCAGGACTGGAATTTAAAATACTATCCACTGTTTTTTGTTGAATCCTCCTACCCTTAGGGCAGAGAATTATAAACATTAACTATTTTGCTAATTATTTCTAATATTTTTCTAGCCTGAGGTGTGTACTTTTGAGAAAGTGTCTCCTGGCTGGTCATTTTTATATTTTATTTTAAATTTTTTCTAACCCACATTGCACAATGCTGATACTTAATTTGGGTGTAGAAGGTTCAGTGCAAACTGGGTGGGATAGGATAATCTATTGTTTGGGGATTATATATGATGTATTTATGGAAAATGAAGATACTGTTGAGCAGTTCTTTATGTAAAACTAGCCCTTTTAACAGCATGCTTGGGTGATTGGTTTGAGATCTGCCATAGCATGAGTGCTATTTAACCTTACTTGATGGGCTCTATTCCTTTGCCTCTTTCAGGCTTGTCCACATGGAGACTTACTGCAAGGCAAGCCAGGGTGTAAACGTATAGCACGCCAGCCTGTCAAGCACTAAATCACCATGTGGACCCTGATGCCATGCACTGAAAGTTCTGTCATGCGCTTTGACCTACTGTTTGAAACAGCAGTACATCAGTGCATACTACTGAACTTAATTAAACACCAAGGCCAAGATGTTTAACAAAATAAGCTCTGAGGGCAAAAGACCCACCATTAAACTCAGCAGTATAAGCTAACTTGAAACACCTTAATTCACTGTATTGACTGTGACGTTGCACCCCATAATGCTTTATGGAAATACGCTTATGAAAGTAAATATAACTGGAATATGTTTGATACTAGATAGGGCATGTAACACATCTCTGCAAAGGTTATGATCTACTGAATATATTCATACTCTTTGTATGCATGTATCATTTTTGTACTCGAAGTTATGCATATTGGCTGTGTTCTTGTTTGATTTTAAGTAGCCTTAGTAAGGCATTTGGTCAGCTTCTTTAGAAAGGAACTTTCAAATGGGGCTTCATTAAGTGCCCAATCAAGAAACACTTAACAGACAATGGATCTTGGAAGACTCCAATCCACATAAGAAGTCTACCTGAAGATGTTCCAGGTAGCATGTGAACAATGGCTGCTATCTGTAAGTTCTGAGTCATGCATGGACATGTGACTTGCCCATGTGACTCCAAAACTCCATTTTGTAGCTGGATTCTACACAGGGGGAGGGAGGGGTGTCCACCCACAAGAGAAAGTCTATTTAAATCCCTGGGAGACCCCTCCATTTGGTCTTCAGATGGCTCAAGAGATAGTCTCTCCACCCCCAAAGGGTACCTGAAAGAAACTGGAACAAAGGACAGTAACCATGGGGGTGTGAGTGATTGCTGGACCCAGACTAGAAGGAGGCTAGTCTGTAAAAGAAACTTATTGGAACATCTCTGAGGGTGAGAGTTTATGTGTAATCACTTTCTTACTGTATTAGGCATAGACTTGCGTGTTTTATTTTATTTTGTTTGGTAATTAACTTTGTTCTGTCTGTTATTACTTGGAACCACTTAAATCCTACTTTCTGTATTTAATAAAATCACTTTTTACTTATTAATTAACCCAGAGTATAGATTTAATACCTCGGGGGGCGGGGAAACAGCTGTGCATCTCTCTCTATCAGTGTTATAGAGGGCGAACAATTTATGAGTTTATCCTGTATAACCTTTATACAGGGTAAAACAGATTTATTTGGGGTTTAGATCCCATTGGGAGCTGGGCATCTGAGTGTTACAGACAGGAACACTTCTTAAGCTGTTTTCAGTTAAGCCTGCAGCCGTTGGGGGACATGGTTCAGACCTGGGTCTGGGTTTGCAGCAGACAAGTGTGTCTGGCTCAAACCAGGTAGGGTTCTGAAGTTCCAAGCTGGCAGGGAAAATGGACTTAGAGGTAGTCTCAACACATCAGTTGGCAGTCTCAAGGGGGTTTCTGTGATCCAATCCATCACATTGACACCTTAAATGAAAAGGTTCATTATGGAAAATGGGAATGCCAGATTGCTGAAAGCTAAAGTATGTTTAAAGCTCAAGAGCCTTGTGTCTTTTCCCCTCCATCTCCATCCCCTTCCTTATGGGCTCATCCCCAGAATGACAAAATACATGTAACCATTCCAGATTTCCATGACTTATCTCCCTAGTCTCTTACTAAGACTTTTTCTCCCACATGAAACTGTGCAGTTGGGTGTGACAATTTGAGGCTACTTGATCACATTTGTTTCTTAAGAACATCACATTATAGATAAGACTTCAACAAGTTCAAGCAAGACAATAAACATCACTGGCATCTGCTTTGTAATTGCAAGTACTGCATTCCTATAGGCCACTAGAAAATTCACAGTCTCGTGTTGTAAGGTATTTTTATCCGAGCTATAGCACAGTTCACTTGCTTGAGTATATCTGGATAAACTTTTCCAGTAATCCATTTGTGGTAAGATGGCAAGGAGCTAATGTAATACATTTGATACCATTTCTTTTGACAAACAATTGAAACTCTTCAGATGTGAATTGCATTCCATTGTCACAGTCTGTTAAGGAACTCCTGCACATGAAAACAATAGTCTTAACACTTAACCCATCTATGCTGATCTAGTTGAATTCAGACAGAATACTTAGAATCATAGAATCATAGGACTAGAAGGGACGTTGAGAGGTCATCTAGTCTAGTCCCCTGCACTCATGGCAGGACTAAGTATTATCTAGACCATTCCTGATAGGTGTTTATCTAACCTGCTCTTAAAAATCTCCAATGATGGAGATTCCACAACCTCCCTAGGCAATTTATTTCAGTGCTTAACCACCCTGACAGTTAGGAAGTTTTTCCTAATGTCCAACCTAAACCTCCCTTGCTGCAATTTAAGCCCATTGCTTCTTGTCCTATCCTCAGAGGTTAAGAAGAACAATTCTTCTCCCTCCCCCTTGTAACAACTTTTTATGTACTTGAAAACTGTTATCGTGTCCCCTTTCAGTCGTCTCTTTTCCAGACTAAACAAACCCATAGGTCATGTTTTCTAGACCTTTAATCATTTTTGTCTCTCTTCTCTAGACTCTCTCCAGTTGGTCCACATCCTTCCTGAAATGGAGACAATATTCCAGTTGAGGCCTAATCAATGCAGAGTAGAACAGAAGAATTACTTCTTGTGTCTTGCTTACAACACTCCTGCTAATACATCCCAGAATGATGTTAGCTTTTTTTGCAACAGTGTTACACTGTTGACTCATATATAGCTTATGGTCCACTATGACCCCCAGATCCCTTTCCGCAGTACTCCTTCCTAGGCAGTCATTTGCCATTTTGTATGTGTGGAACTGATTGTTCCTTCCTAAGTGGAGTACTTTGCATTTGTCCAGGGGTGGCTCTATGGTTTTTGCCGCCCCAAGCACGGCAGTCAGGCGGCTTTCGGCGGCATGCCTGCGGGAGGTCCGCCGGTGCCGCGCCTTCAGCGTCCCCACCGCCGAATTACCGTGGAAGCCGCAGACCTCCTGCAGGCATGCCGCCGAAGGCAGCCTGACTGCTGCCCTCACAGTGACTGGCAGGCCGCCCCCCACGGCTTGCCGCCCCAGGCACGCGCTTGCTGCGCGGGTGCCTGGAGCCGCCCCTGCATTTGTCCTTATTGAATTTCATCCTATTTACTTCAGACCATTTCTCCAGTTTGTCCAGATCATTTTGAATGACTTTGAATTACTTCAGATCATTTAGAATGGGCATCTATTGCAATCATAGATGTCCCAAAAACTGTCCAGCCTTGGCTATGTGGATTCATTGCCACTGCATAGTGTGCTGTCAAGGCTGATGCCCCACTCTGGCAGTTCGAGTGCAGAAGGTGGAGGCCCACAAGGATTCTAAAAATTAATACTGGCCACTCCAGGCTTGTATTAAACTCCCAAGGTTACAGCTTCTCTCGGACCTTGGATGGGTAGATGCTGCCACCACCCAAATGCAAAACCCCTGGGAACCCAGAAAGGTGCACTTGGGAATTTCTTCCTGTGGGGTACCCTCAAGCCCTTTCACCCACCATCCAGGGAAGAGCTGAGAAAGAAAACAAAGGAAATTAGCTGTTGCCCCCAGCTAATTAAACAACATATGCACAAACCTCTTAGGACACCAAAAATCCAATCCTGTTCTTAAAAAAGGTAAATTTTATTAAAAACAAAACGAAAGAAAATACATCTGGAATTTAGGCTTTGCTAGATTAAAAAAAACCCACTTACAAAAATTAACATCGAGAATAACTTTCTTGAGGTTCAGCTTAAAGGTTACAAGCAAAACAAAAGCATTTGGGGTTAGCACAGAGGAGTCCACAAGCCAATAAGAAATAAACAGAAATAAACCTAATTGCGTCTTTCTAGACATTTTCTGATTTATGAGTAGGTTTTAGGTATGATCTGATGATTTCCATACCTGACAAAAAGCTTTTTACAACATAGTCCCAGCCCTGTCTCTGCTCTGTCCCCTCTCTCTGGAGAACAACAGCAAAACAAAGGGAAGTTTTTCCCAATTTTAAAAAGTTCTAGGCCTCCCATTGGCTCTTTTGGTCAGGTGCCCACTCCTTTCCTTTTACCTGTGGGCTTTTTAACCCTTTACAGGTAAAGCAAGTAGAGAACAGCTAATAAGAGGGATTTTATAGCTAACTGGTTGGCTGGGTGTCCATAAAAGGGAGTCCCCCCCCCCGCATTTATCACAGGTGCAAAGGAGCACGTTTAGGCATGTACTGAAAATCTCATCAGTGTTTTCACCATTTCCTCTATTTGTGTATCAGTCCCTGGCCACCACACAAAACTCCTGCCCAGGACTTTCATTTTAACAATTCCCAAATGGCTTTCATGTAACTCTTGGAATACA